GAAAATCAAAAATGAAAATGAATGAGGATGGGAAAGGAAAAAGTTAGGAAGTGCACCAAATTAACAAAAAAGGATGGGGATCAAGATAAGGCAAAAAAAAGATCATAGAACGGGGTATGGGTCTCCAGTGGGCAGTAGCAACAAACCAACAAAAGTTAACCCAAGTTCCCCCCCCCCCCCTCCCCCGGGCGTTCACACGGAACCAGATTAATTTTTGCTCTGTTCACGGGGAACTTTGAACGGCTAGGCGTCTAAATTGTCGTAGGGATTAGGTAGATCCGTGTGAACAGAATCCCTATACGCACAAAATTTAAACTAGTTGACCTTTGCGCTGGACGCGCCGGTGTCGCGTCATCTATGGTATGTGATTACTTTGCAACCTTCCCTCATAACGTAAGTTTGGGCCACTTGTTGTGTTAATTTTTGCGCAGTGGCAACGATGCACGTATCGTGGCCCGGCGCGTAGGACATCCCGAGTTCTATTGCGGACAGAAGAACCTCTTTTTCTTTCTCTCTTCTTTGTTTCTTTTCGTTTAGTATTTTTAGTTATTGTAGTTTTGTTTTGTTTTGTTTCTTTAGATAGCGATAGTTTTTTTTTCCATTTAAAAATTATCTTCCCTCTTGCCCTATTTCCCTTGCTCCCTACTTCTTGCCGTTCCCCCGATGTGCTCCTCGAGGTCCTGCGATTTACGTATTTTTAGTTCTAGTAGCGGTTACCTGCAAAACTTATCCACGAAATCTTTCTCCCTTTTCCTTGTCCGAATAGTTCCCAGTCCATTCAACGTCTCTGAAAAGTGAGAATAAACAGGACTACGACAAATAGACTCCAACCTTTGTAGCTCCCTGGATGTCCGTAAGTAATATCTTGAAATAAGTCCGGCCAACACAGTTATTGGTACAATAATAAGCAGAGTCCAAGGATTTATGACAGTTGGTAGAAGAACAGACGTCAGCATCAACAAAATCAGCTGGATGGATTTCAAAAATGTTTCTGGTAGTAGTTCATCCATGCAGCCTACATCTTTAGAGAACCTATTCATGATTCGTCCTGCTGGATTTGAATCGAAGAAAAAGACCGGCGCCTGTACAATAGCCATAACCATTTTATCATGGAGTCGTTCAGAACATTTTAACGATACCAGATAGAAGCTGAACGCTCGAACGAGGAGAAGTATGAAAGATGCCCCAACAAGAGAACCAAAGATGATAAGGTTTTTGTCATTTCGTTGATCCTCAACACGCTTTGTCGTCAAAAACGACAGCCAAAGATCGCAGGAAACCAAGATTGCTGAACAGAAGACAGGAGAAGAATAACATAATAAACCTCTTAACAAAATCACCCTTATCACATAAAAGGGTTAATTAGGAATAAGCAGTGGTCGGTAAATCACTGTCACTGGCAATTCGCCAATAAAGTGGATAGGGATTTTTGATCTCACTGCGTACCTAGCAACTTCTTTCTGCTTGTTCTATGAGTAGTACATTTACTGAGGAACTGAAAATGAGTTCATGAAAGCAAATTCAAGGTATTCCGCCTATAATCATTTTTTCAGCACATCCAGCAAATAGCGATAGATATCTATTCGCTATTCAAAGTCATCTGATAGACTAATAAACCTCTTATCTTATTTTACACTTTTTTGAACAAAATTTAAGGATATTTTATCCATTTTTATGTTTTTACAAGCCGCGTTGGAGATAGTGTGTCAATTATTTTAAGGTCTACAATCTGCACGTTACCTTGAGTGAGAAAACAAAAACAAATTCCTACGATGATAACCAGCAAAGGTACTCCGCTTCTGAAGTAGTTCCAGTAAAGTTTAGGGGACACCACCCCGATAGCTCGATCTTCTTCCGATAGCTGCAGGCCCTCCACGTTATGCGATGCAGTTGTACCTCTTATGTCAGAAATTTGATCCTCCTGTTCACTTTCGAATTCCTTTCGAATTCCACCATCAGATTCTTTCAGTTGCTCATACAGCGAATCGACAGTTGTATTCAGAATACCATTTTCTTTCAGCTCAGTGAAACTCCCCTTTCCCAATATCTGGCCTTTAGATAATACAATAACGTCATCGGCTTCGCGCATGATCCTTTCTTGATGGGAAGTTATCAACCGGGTTTTCTCTCCCAGTAAGCCTTTGATGCATTCCCTAAA